GCTGCCATTCTATGGGGAATGAGCATCTTAGCCTTAGGGGCGGCAGGGCGCGGATGCAGGCTTAAGGAGCGTTTAAGGGAGGAGCTCGGCTCAAATCTTGACTGCCTCTCCAAGGTCAGTGCACGGATATTAGAGCGCAAAGCAACCTCTGCCCTGGACTTTGCCTTCTGGTATAGGGCCGCTACTTCCAAAGCAATGTCAGCATCAAGTAATTGTCCAGGGCCGGCCGACCACTCCGCTGCAATGTCACCAGCGGATGACCAGAAGTGACGCAGATCTGAAGCAGATGAAACCCCCAGCCCGTCGAGCCACAGTCTAACGGGAGGCCGCTGATCTGCCAACAAGTCAGCAAAATCTGGGTCCATTGCTTCAGCTAATTGCCGACTGTCCCTGCTCGAGAGAACAGACGGCAACAGAAAAGTGTTGAATCGAAGAAGAAGATGACCTTGGCATTCAAGTTCATAGCAGACCCTACACCAACCAACCGTCCGACTATGAAACACAAAAGAACATCTTGTGAACGGGACCTTGAGCAGAACAACATTCACTTTGACCACCGGCACTTTATTTGCCTGGCCCACCACCAATGGGACAGTCAGACCGTGAGTAGACTGAACTCGCAGCCCAGCACGAAGGAACACACGAGTCTCCAGAAAACGTGCACTTCATGCCGCTACATGTCGCATGCCACAGTCACACTCACAGGGCCAGGTCTCTGAGTGAGAGGCAGCTGCTGCTATGTGACAAGCAGGGCGCCCCCATCTTCACAGGTGCCGACATATCCTGCGGTTCGGTGCATTTCCGGCCATGCCACTCCATCCACATGACCGGTATGTTCGGAGTCCCGTTATTCTGCTGGCTGCAATTCTTCGGAGGTTGTCACGCAGGTGTACTCTACATGGCCAGACGGCAAGCCCATAGGCTACAGCAAGCAGGCGGACACATTCGCCAAGCACCTGGCCACGCAGCAGTCGGCCCCCCTTGAACGTCCCTACACAGGCCCTCGTTTTTGGAGCTTTTCAACACGGCTCTCCGCACAGGAGTTGTCCCACAGCCTTGTCGGCAGCCAACGTTGCCGAAGTCCCGGACAAGAAGGGGACGATGGCCAACCCCATAAACTCTTCGCCAGGATCTTACAAAAAAGATTGGAGGCGGCCATAGATGCGAAGCTGCACACCTCGAGGTCGACCTCACAGGCGATACACATGGCCCGCCGTCTCATCGAGAGTGCCGAAAGGCACGGGTCGCCGTTGGCTTTGCGAGCATCGCATGGTTTGGGACTTGAGCTCTTAATTGGCCTCCGTTTGGTTTTGACCGCACCCCTGGTCTCATGAAGCCAACAGGCTTGCCATAACACGATGTGGGGAACCAGGCTGCGAAGCCTGGGATGGATCTTCTACACCATCATGAATCGGACACGAAGCGAGATATCAAGCTAAGCGTGAGTGGCACCTGTTGTGGCAGCACATTCCTGCAACTTCGCTGGTAAGGTGTAATGATCGCTGGCATGTGTGTTGTATCAGTCAAAGACACATTGATATCGCGACGGTGGCTCAAATCATAGTTCAAGATGGCAATGTCAGCAAGATGCAACACGCATGGATTTTGAATACCCAAGCACTTGATGCAAGCTGTCGTGCTTGAAGACTTGCTGGTGTCACACTTCCCCACTAGTACTTTGTAATCGGTATATCCAGCGACCAATTAACAAAACTGCAAAGACCGTTTAGAGCTTGGCATGGCCACCTAGAAGTGAGCGGAACAGCGTCTCTGTCGAAGTCCACACCTCAGCTCAGAAAGCTTGCCAACTTGCATGGGATGAGTTCAAGCTCCAACAATGCACGTGTAAGTGCTGCGAAAGCACATTTCCGAAGTATCTCCTCATCTTCTCTGCATCCACGACAGCGTCGGCAGAGTGAATGTGATCGAGGGCAGCATCAGTGAAAAGTATTCCAAACGTATACTGGATGAGGAGTAACCTTGCTCAAAGTAGAGGGTTCGACCAGGCTTTCACTACCATGATTTCACATGTGACGAGCAAGCCAGAGTAGGGGTTCCGTAGCGTCCGAGCCGCAGCAGCAAAGCCCACACCAGCGATTTCGTGGTATCCGCTATCGAGTAGACAAGTGTTCGTAGCGCACCAATAAATCTCACCAGACTGAGGGAACGCACCACCTTCACCAATCGAGTTATGCGAAAGATGCCTTAGTTTCTGCACTGAAACCGGGGCAAACGATGCAAACACGGCCTAGCATGCGAGCAAGACGCGCATGATTCGGAAATTGCTGGCGGCTGCAGAGTACGTTCCAGAATTATCGAGGAGGTCCACGGCCAGTTCGACCCACGAGGACATAACCTCAAGCAAACTATAAAACTTGCTGTTCCTTCTCGGATAATGAGTGAACTGGGCGAGATGAAAGCCGGCAGCCTCTAGGAGAAACAACGTTTTCCAACTTTGTCTGAGTCTATTGTGTCACGACCACCCGAAAGTTCGAAAGGAGCTCTTTTTCACGATCGAAATTTGGATTTAACCCTTACACAATTCAAGAGGACGTGCTGTTGCAGTTTCTTGGAAGGTTGGGGGCAACTGAACCGCCGAACCTTTCGAACAGCAACACCACCGAACCACATCTGGAAAAGTGCAAGCAGGACTCGGCAACAATGTCCAGCCAATGCCAGGCCCAACCGCTTCCACACACATAGGAGATAGGTCCAACCGCCAGGATTCGGATCATGATCTCCACCGAGAAGAGCCCCACGTAAACGAGATGAATGATGAACCACATTGGATGCACAAACATTGTGCCCGAGTTGGCGGTCAGTTCCACTTGTGCGCCAAGATACACCGAATTAGTCAGAATCACAATGGCAAAGAATACGTTGAAGTTCGTGGAATTCGCTATTCTATAAGCCCACGCAGAAACCTTTCTGTGGAGTGATCCGAGCTTGGTCTTGTCAAGATCCAGTGAGTCGGATATGAGGTTCTTCCATGACTCAACATACGTGGCCTGCATTTTGGCAGTCTCGTAACTTTCACTTCTTGACAAGGGTTTCCTCAGCGTGGGAGCGTGCTCCACTGCTTCAACATGTTGTCTGGTACCCTCGTCACTGCTCTCTTCGCGAGCCGAAGCTTCATGATCTGCCTTGGAAACTCCCTCCTCATCTGTTACCGTCTCCTTGCTTTTCTGCCACGTGAAGTCACTGTCCGGAACGCGGGTTGCTGCCGGTCCGTAAAGGGGATGTGGAAGAAGCCGAGGGTCGGACTGCCCATACTTCTGTAGTTTCAGTTCTAAATTGTGCAACCAATCTTGCAGCTGCGACAGCAGCTCTGCGTGGTGCCTTGCATGTCAAGTCAGCACCCGGATGGGCCAGAGACACTGTCGACGAACTACTTCCGAGCAAAGCTCCCAACTGACGGCAATACCCCGTGCAAAACTCCAAGCGCCGTCAAATATAAGTATTTACTTGTGTTCTGCTCGGAATGCTTCGTAGCATGAAAACTCGCAAACCTGCCTTGTATATCTTGTATTTTCCACTGCACCGACAAGGAAACAATGCAAACCCCACCTTTGGAGCACATCGTCCACCATGTCAGGAACAGGCTTCGCCGACATGTCCGGCGAACACCAAGTTCAAGCTAATCCACCAGGCATGCGGCCAATGGCGTCCTACGTCTGCACTTTAACTACTTTACAAACTTACAGAAACATAAAGACACCTGCGATGCACCTACTACACAACTGCCACATACTGCCGCCATGAAGCACAATTATATAGTTTCTGTAAACTATACAGCAGATGCACTGGTTTAAATCTGAGTCGCTATCCTCGATGTTCAACCGTCCTAGGTCGGACGTGAGTCTCACCACATGTTCAGCATCTTGAACCGAAGATGCGAATCATCAAAAGTAGCGTGGCAAGCGTGCGATCTTGAATGCGATTGCGGACAAATCTAAGTCCCCAGTAACCGATCCTTTCCTCATTGACATGCTGCAGTTGTCTGTTCGGCTCTGCCAGCAGACTTTGCAGCTCGGCGACTGACACGGTGTAGACCGGCAACAAGAAGCTACAAGCTATGAGAGAATGGAGAGATGTGACGAACATTCCGGGACGTTCTCGTCATGATCCGACTGTTGCAGGGTATCGTGGGCTGCCGTGATCCATGCTCGGAGTCCCAGTGGCCTGATGCTAGAACTCCGGATAGCCACCTGCCCCTCGTTCAAATCGAAGGTACTCAACCATCTGCCAGCTCTAACCTCCTTTCTTCCTTGTCTTCGCGGCTGACCTGTTTTTGTGGCATTTTGACCAAGACGGCTACACAATGCTGCGGGACATTGCTTTGTTATACCGCATACTTGTTCTACATTCTTTCATACTCCTTCTTTGCGCTGTCCCGCCATGTACTGCCCACAGCTTCGAAAGCTGAGGTTGCAGTGTAGAGTAGAGCTGTACTCTGCCTCAGCGACAATGGGCTTAAAGCTGTGTTATTCCGACACACCATGCGGCCGCAACATGTCCGCACACGAGATGTGCGGTCACGTCTTGCACGTCCCATCAGTCGCCACTTGTAGTCGAGTCGAGAAACAACGAGCACCCTGCTACAATAAACCCAAAGCGCAAGCTCATTGTTTGCACTCTTTTGCTGCGGCCTGAGACAAGTGCTCTCTAGTAAAGGCTCGACGTTCTCAATCAGACGGTTTACACTTTCAACTCTTCAGCACCGGCAGGACAACAAATTCCGGGTAAGAACTACTAAGCTAAGACCAAAAGGAGACCGGCTTTAGGCCAACAAGGCGGGTCCAAGAATGCCGTCGCCGAGTAATTCGGGCTCCGGTTGAGGACAAACTAATGGTCTCTCCTGACTCGCCATAAGGAAATTTTCGTATGCGGCACCAAGCAGAGTTCCGCAGGCAGGTCGCGTGGCACCGAGCACAAACGTTATGCACTTGTCAGGTAGATCACTGTCGTGCTTGTGCTGGACGTGACATCTTTCCAACACTTCGTAATCGTGCAGAAGCCAACATGTTCCTGGCCAATCCTTGAGGATCTGATGCCACAGAAGCGCTGTTTGTTCCGGACTCCGCACTCCATGTGTAAGCAAGGCTGAGGTCTTGGAACCGACCATCAAATGCCACAAAAGCCGAAGCAAGTCGTCATGGCAGCGGCTACCATATGTAATGTCAGAGCCCAAGATCAAATCGAAGTGTCCAGCAGGCCAAGGTGGATCCGCGTGCCAGTCAAGCTGGGCTACCTCGAATCTCTGGGCCTGCTTCCCAAGCTGTGCTGTGCACCTCAATCTGGGCAGAATCTCTGCTCGATCCGTTGCGGTCACCTCTGCACCCAGGCTAGCTGACACAGCAGACACGAGGCCACAACCAGCGCCCAGTTCCAAGACCCGCTGACCCTCCACCAGCAGTTTGTGTGAGCACAGAAAATTGCTCAACTGATGCGCTGCCTCCCAAACCACGAAGCCTGTGATGGAAAAGCCGCTGAAGGATTCCTCGAACTGAACTTCCACTTCACCGGAGAAGCTCCGCCATGTTCGCACTGTTGCTGCAGTGTCTGCTGGCATGTCGAGACTGCTTGATATTTTTGCTTGCCGCATGCCAAATCTCCTACAAGTTGGACGGCCAGCTGGTGACCGGATGACAGGGCTCTCTTGCTACTCGGATTCGTGGCCCTGCACCTAATTGACGTGAGTGGAGGAATCGGCAAAAGTTCAAAATGCTCAGCTGAGCCGGCTCTCCTTGAGCCAGCTGGTAGAATCGACCGTGCCGACACAACGCATTAGCCCGAAGCCCTCCTGCTATCCGTGTTCTTACTGAATCATGACCATGATTAGTGCGCACATGTAGTATAGAGCAGTTTTTTGCCGCAGTCAATTGGGCAGGCCAGGCGGCCATGTCCTCACATGCTTAGCTGCAGCAAGAAGGACCCCTGGTGGCATCAACGGACATGACATTCCAGCCTAAGCTCCACTGACTGCGTGCACACGCAGCTTTCAGATTTCTCTCTGGTCGAACGGATGTCCTCAACGTATCATTCCCCCCTGACAGTCCTCGTGTGAAGATAGACGCGGTTGGTATGCCACGATAGCGGGATGACACCGCGGTAGCTCATCCGCCTCAGGTTCGGCAGGAAACCCGGGTTCGGGCGCCCGTCCTAGTGCACTGCGAGTACCTGAAGATGTGGATGCCAGTTCTCGGCGATTTGAGGATGTTGCCTGATACCTTCCTTCTCATCTGGCATCAAGCTGAATTTCTGTGCCACGGCCTGTCAAAAGCTGTGGGAATTCTTGAGCAAGTGGTGCCGTCTTGAAAAGAAGCGGCTGCTTGGCCTTGTACTTCGCATCCTCGTAGTCTATTCGTAGGACCTGTGGACTTTAAACTGAAAAATCAAAGCGAACCCTGCCTTGAGTCATGGCGCAAGCCGCGACATATTTGCAGATCCCTGTTTGGGTGCCGTAGCGGAGGTCTTGAAGCAAGTCCCGTTCAAACAGCTGTCATCACATTTGTTGCAAGTCACTACTTAGAGGACTTGCCTTGGACTGTCCAGCAAAACTGTCGATGTTCTCGATGCTGACGACAGCTGCCTGCACTGCTTGTGTGAATCGCGGCACGAATCTTAAAGCTGTGCTCGTCTAGCTTATGTTTTGAACACGGAATTCTTGCAAACTTGACACGGAAATCAAACAGTTGCATGTACCTCGACAAATTACCTTGAAACGTGAGTTGACAACGACGCTTGTAATCACATGTTTGAGGATGTGCTTCCATGTGCTTCCGATTGGTGTAACATTTTTGTGTGTAAGGCTTGAAGCATGGTCCACCACTTGTAGTGGCAGATGTCGCAACAGCTTCAGCTGCCAAGGCCCTTCTCTCCCAAAGCTTGAGCGACCCAGGCAAGAGTTTCGACCGACTTGAGTTGCTCTTTTCCAGCCCATTCGTGACGAGATTCTCAAGGTCGCAGACCCTTGTCCACTTACATTCCGGCTCCACTTGAATTGAGAAGCCAAAATTCTGAAAGTCCGGACGCGCTTCTTATCTGCCACAATCTGAACTCGGGGCTCAAGTTCTGGGACCCCACAAAATCTGTTAAGCCAGCAAAGCAAATCTGCATCTGAACGGCCCAGAACCTCTTCCCAGCGATGCTACAAGTAGTTTGCGACTTCTCGCAATCTGTTCCAAGTCAGACTTTACTTGGGCTCGCGCTGTGCGAATTTGAGTGGCAAGGTAATCATCGAATGCCTTCGAACTTGCGCAATGACGGCAGAAGCAAGTCACGAGATGGCCAGAGACTGACAAACAAATCGGCATCCCCCTGTTCGAAACGAAACCTGCAAGATGGTGTCAAAGAGCCTTTGCCGAGGCCAGGTGCGACAGGTCCTAGCGGAGTCGAAGACGAAGACTTCTTGTTGCCATGCTTCTGAGATCAGCCAGATTTTTAGGAACCTTCCGGCTCGTATCGGATAACAGCAGAGTTCTTTTAATCGAGTTTACCCAAACGGTAGAACGGCTTGGCGCGCACACCCTGTCTACACCCGAAGCATATTGAAGAATGCTGGCCCCATTGTACAACCTCGTTTGATACTGGAACTGGTCGAGTCCTGAACCCTTCATTTGCACCAGTTGCATGAAGTCCTGCAACTACTCGTTGCACGTGCAACATGATATAATCTTTGAGCAGGGGAGGCATACTGCTATTGTTGCTAAGCCGATACTTTGATTGCAGATTCTAAAGCCTGAAGTGATGAAGTTTGCCCCCATGATGTTTACAAGGTCTACGAAAACTACGGCAAGGCGTTTCACCCAGTGACACAGTGCATGAGGCCAGGCCAGCATCAGAGAACCAAATCAAGCCGGAAGGGAAGGGGGAGGGCATCTGTTCTCTTTGGTCGGCTACGTTTTCGCAGTCATCTGGTCTGAGACTCCATCCTACGATCTCAATTCCACAGATGTTCCACTAAAGCTCCTGCTTGCTCCAATCGACCACCACATCGTTCAGCTTGATCTTCCTCGCATGTCAGCACCAATCGGCAAACTGATGCCAATCCGATCCTACGCACTGGGCCAGCAACCTATACTGAATATTCGCGCGTGCACCGATCCCGGCCCCTTCTGGTCTTCACGCACTTCGGCCACACTCCCGCTTTGCTCACTTCTTCGAGCCGAGCTGCCAGACGCAACTAAGACTCCACCGCCTCTCGAAAGCAAAAATCAAAACAGTCCTGCAGGCCATCGTTGGGACAAAAAAGATGGGCTTAGATCCGATGAAATCTTCTTTGCGTCAATGGCGCATATGGCGCTTACATTAGTTCCTCAGAAGGACTTTCCTGCTGCTCCGCTGAGAGGCTCTGCTTTCCGTCAGCAAGGCTGCTTCTGATGATGTTTGTGGGGATCGCAGATTTTCGGAAATTTGATGTCCGGTGCTCTCATACAAGCCACCCGGCTGGCAATTTGCAAACTTCCGAAGCACGACAAACCTGGGACAAGGCAGCACTTCTCCAAACCCTTGCTAATCTTCAATCACTACACTTTAAACCTAGCGCAAGCATGGCAGGCTTACAAGGACTTTACACACGTGAAGACATCATAAAATTCTGACTTGCCGTACTGACTGGGGCTATCAGGGGCAACTTGCAAGCTGCTGTGCCAAGGGCCCGGCCCCAGATGCTGTTTGAAGAACTGACCTGTGATGTAGGCTTGGTTGGCGCTGCAAGTTCGGTATGTCGGGGGCAGGACCACGGGCGGGTCTGCTGTCCCAGGCCTCCAGATACTCCCTCCTCACCGAAGGTAAATGATCGGCTAATCTCCGGCCTCGCTTCGACTGTGTCTGTGCTTTATCGGATGGTTCAGGGAGCTTGTCGAAGGTATTCGAAGGTAGTGCTTAGGGTAGGAAGCGCAGGGAGCGAAGGGAACAGCGCACCAAAGGTCCGTGGAACTGGAAAAGCGAGAGTGGGGGAGTAGTCCTAGGACCATGACCGCCAAAACCTGCTACGAGCTTGTAGTAGTGGTAGTAGTGGTAGTAGTAGTAGTAGTAGTAGTAGTAGTAGTAGTAATAGTCGTCGTAGTAGTAGTAGTCGTACTAGTAATAGTACCACTACCACTACTACTACTACTACTACTACTACT